TGTTCTTTGACTATTCTGATTGGCTTATTTGAAAGGGCTATTACCAATAATTGACTGGAGAGCTGTTGCCAGATCAGATGAGGTAAGAGGTCATTTTGACCCCGTTTCCCAGGGGACAGAACCAAAGCATATGTATATGGGTAATTGTTCAGGAACTGAGTACGTGCGAGTGTAGCTGTTAGGTCCTTGGTTCCCAGGGGAGGAGGGGAAGCACTATGGCACAGAGGCTGAGAGGATTCAGAATGGTCAAAAATGGCTTCAGGATTGTCTTAAAGTCTTACACTCTCTATTCAGAAAAGGGCAAGCCGCCCATGGATACCAACAAAACATGGCATATCAAGCTGCAGTAAGACTAAGCACCTCCCCTTTGTATTAAGGCTGCACAAGGCAACCTAATAAGAGGAATAGGGTCCCAAAAGCGAGAAAAAAAGAGTCAAAGACAGCCCCTGCTCCCACTGTTAGGAGTCCCACAGTGGCGGAGGAAGAACATGGACTCAAGAGGTCTGACTTATGACTTCTGGGCCTTTGCATTAATTTGTGCAACACACACCAACATTTCCCTTCTTGCTTTTGTATGTTAGTGGGCTAGTGTGCAGTTCAGTGGTACAGCACTGAGCATGCCCAAAGCCCTGGGTCTGATCCATATGATCTTTATATGTCTGCTAACATTTAAAGACTATGTTATCCCAAGGCCTTACTCCACTGGAAATTTGCAGTGTGCTCTGCAGTTCTGACTGGTGTTTAAACATTTGCTGTACTTTAATTTGCAGGCCCAAGAAGCTAATGTTAAAAGCTTTCAAGCAATACTGGTTTGTCTTCAAGGACACGTCTATAGCCTACTTTAAAAATAAGGAACTTGAACAAGGAGAGCCAATAGAAAAACTAAATATTAGAGGTAAGATCTTTTGGCACCTCGCTGTGGCATCCAGCGGGATCCCGGAGAACTCTGAGCCCTGCTGCTTGCCGCGGCTCCTCCGTATTACAGAGCATGTGCATCACGTGGGGTCCGTGCTGTGCTCTCCCTTGTCACCCAGCAAGCTGGACTTTCTCATTCAAAAACAGTTGTGTCCAGGCTGGGGCTTGTCTTGGGGGTAGAGCATGGACTTTTGTGCAAGGTCCCTGGTTCGATGCTAAGCACTAGAGATGGGGGGGGGAGGCAGGAAATGCCAAGAAAAGTTATGTTTCGTTCTTAGTTACTTCAGCGCGCATTCTAATTGCTGGAAGTGACTAGGAGCGCATTGGTGTCTCTGCTTCCTGGGTTATCTGATCAGCCAGTGACCTTGGCTCTGCATGGCTGCAGCAGAGAATCGCTTCTGCTTTGCTCCCTCTTAAATTTTTTTTTTTTTTTCTTTTTGGCTTTTCGAGACAGGGTTTCTCTGTGGTTTTTTGGATCCTGTCCTGGAACTAGCTCTTGTAGACCAGGCTGGTCTCGAACTCACAGAGATCCGCCTGCCTCTGCCTCCCGAGTGCTGGGATTAAAGGCGTGCGCCACCACCGCCCGGCTTAA